TGGGAAATTCCGTAACAATTTAGATGATTTATCCATCTTTTTTTCAAATCTATTGAGGCCTCTAACTAATTAAAGTAATTATTTTTCTCTGATTTCCCAATATGAGAAATTCCGTAACAATTTATTTTCATCGTAATTCCACCTTCTGAGCCTCAACCAAGTTTCCAAAACCTCCACCTTACACTTTTCTCATTTTTCAAGAATTTTCTAGAATTTTTCTCAAGTTTTTCCCTTTTGCCCTTCTTAGACCGATAATTAAGAAAATGCCAACTCAGACCTCATCGAGATTTCATCTCAAAAGTTGTTTCGTCTCCCCGTCTAGTTTTTACATTGGCCCTCACCCCAATTTTTAATTCCCTATGTCTAGATGAAATTTCTTGGGATGTGACACATACAAATATGTCATACATGCAAGCAAATACTAAGTATATAGGAGTAAGGTAAAGTTTACTACCTTTAGTTTTTTTTACATTCAAGTGGTTTTGTGATGAAATTGGAACAAATCTAACTTTTCCTTAACCTTGCATACTTTTGGCCAGACTTAGGCTTCTTGATAGGGTAAGATTTTGATGAGTTTGATGCTTCTAATATTTTTAGAATGAAAAATTATGTGGGATAAAGGTAAAAAAGTAAGTTTAGAAGCATTGAAATTGAAAATAGAATTTTAAATCTTAAACCCTATATGTCTCGATTGAGTTAAAGGGAAAGGAATTAAATTTAAATAATTTTGAGCTTAGAAATGGATTCTACACGCAAAATTATAAGGGAATAGCATGTGAAATTAAATTTTGGAAGGATTAAAAATCAAGTTCAAAAATTAGAAGTCAATGTGGCTTAAAGAGAGTATATAAGGGAATAGCATGTGAAATTAAATTTTGGAAGGATTAAAACTCAAGTTCAAAAATTAGGAGTCAATATGGCTTAAAGAGAGTAAAGTATTGATGTTGATTGTAATCATGGTTCTAATGAGTGAATGACATTGTGTGCTAATATATTTAGGACTATGCATAAGTTTGAGATGGATTTTTGTAGCGATAAACCACTGCAAAGTTGACTTTAAGTTTGTAGCATGAAATTTGTGATAGTTATAGGATAAAAAATGCTATAAAATTTTGGGAGTCATTGACTTTCCAGCTGCTTGATGAAACTCTTATAAAGGTTTTTAGCAATGACATCAATGGCAACTATATTTATAGTAATTGTCTCCCAAACCACTATAACGCTTTCATATTCTTTCATGGAAAATTAACATGTGTCTCATAGTAGTTTTGGAGACAATTGCTATAAAAGAAGACATTTTGTAGTGGTTTTCTAGACAACTGCTACAAGGTTAAGCTTATATAAATGTTGCCCCCTTATTTTGCCACTTTTGGATTGTTTGAGTAGCAAAACTCTGCCAATTTTTTGTCCTGAATTCAGATCCAACTCCAGATCCAGCACTTCACATTCAGCTATATATTTTTATTTAAACTTTTTATATTTATGCAATTTTTTAAATTTCTTCCAAGTCCCCAGGGACCTCTGGATAAATAATTTCAATTGTGATATTACCTACGTACTCCTGGTAATTTAAGTGTGAATAATTTTTCTGTCTTAAACCCTCGGGACCACCTTCTTCGCAATTCCAGCTTTTCGTTACAGCACAAGCGGCTTCACATCCATCAGTGGTGAGCTTTACTTACACCATTGGCGAGCTTCGCACCCCATCATCGATGACCTTCGCGCCCCACTGCCAGTGAGCGTCATGGGTTCTATCATCCCATCAACGAGCCTTTCTCTCTTGGTATATCATATTGATTTTATCTATTACTGGCATACTTAGGTGAGGCGCTTCTCAGTTTCAAAGCAGCAATTGCTAAGTTTATGTTATATTAGTAAATGATTCTCAGATTTGAGGTACATTATGGCAACAAATTTTTCTTAATCTTATATGTAACTTTACTTTCATTGGTGATATTCTAGAATTTAGCTTGCCATGAGTTTTTTTTTTTTAGTATAAACAGCAAGCCTCAGCTTGTAGATACAAAATAGAGCCTTAACAGAAACTAAACTAAAGGCACCTTGTGGCTTTTCGTGAAATCATGTTGCATCTGTTGTACACAAAAACTTGGAGGATGTTGAATCTAGTACACCTCCATAAAAACATGATGATCATTTCTTTCTAAGTAGTCTGCACAGATTAGCGTCTCTCTATATGAATGAAGTATTTCCAAGTCCCAATTAGAGAAGATAATGGATCTTGTCTCAATAATGTCATCCCGAAACGGATTTGTATTCCACCCCCATATCTCGCCACTACTTGAGTGGATGTATACCACCTGACCTAGGGGGGCTAGAGCATTTGACTGCTCTGTATATACTTTTGATTATGTATAATTTTTCTGGGACATTTGATTCTATTACTTTATTGCTTGCCTATTGGATCTGATTTAATCATAATCAGTGTGTGCTGTAGGGCCCTTCACAACAACAATTTCTATGGGACAATTCCCATAGCAATTATGATAAAGTGATTTAACATCATAACTAAGCACGCAGTCCTTAATGATATAGCTAAACATGTTTTCCTATACAATACACAAAATATGAGCGATGAGCCATGTTATTCATGACTTTTGATTAGTGCAGCTTGATAGAGATTTTACATCGATATGTTGATATATTGATTTCACACCGACATTTGCTATAGTATTTTTTCTATTGGCCTTCTATAGAGGTTGACTTCTTCGAAATCAAGTCGGTAATAGGAAATATTAGGTTTTTGCATTGGTTCTGACTAATTCCTCTGGAGAATAATTTGAATCTTTCTTGTGCAGATTCTTGCAAGGCAATTACCTAAGTAGAGCAATTCCAAATAAACTAGGAAACCTATCATAGCTCAGAAGTTTGTGAGCACAATATTTTAGTATAGTTTCTGGTTCATTTCATCCAATTTATGTTGTTATAAGGATGGACAAATCGCATTCATTCATCATATTCCTGTATTTTCTAGGGATATATCAAGTAACTCCCTTAGTGGGAATATACCTCCATCACTTGGGAAACTGTATAATCTCAAAAATTTGTAAGTAGCCTTGGTTTTCTTTGTTTTTTAGTTTTTGACTTTGCTCTTTTTTATTTATATCTTTTGTAGATTTCACTATCAAAGCAAATTTTTTTTGTTTTCATTTTGTAGTTTAACAATATAATGACAGTAATTTTTTTTCTCCCTATTTTGCAGTTTAACAAAATGGCTAAAAAGAGTAAGACCAAAGATGGACAAAGGCCTAGGAACTTCTCTAGATATATACTATTTACTAAAGAATTTTATGTGAAGAACAAGAAGAAGTTCAAGTCTTTTGAAGAGGGTAGTAACTCTATGAAAAAGGCTTGGGGGAAGTTAACAAAACAGGAGAGAGAACAATATAGTGAAAAGGCTAAAGAAATGAGAGTCCCACTAAAAGGGAAGAATTATATTGTTCCTTTCCACACACGGTGTGATCCGGGACAATTTATGGAAGTTTGCAAGCACTTAAAGAAAAGGACAGATAAGATAGAAAGGTTGAAAAGGATTGGTTTTGATAAATATGCTGCTCACAAATCGATAGAGATTTTTGTGGTGAATTGATCCGTGTGTTTAACCCTATAAGTAAGAAAATATCAATTCGAGGCAAGACGCATGAAATAGGGCTAGGAGATGTAAATCAATTAATGGGCCTACCATTTAAGGGGCAAGAAATTAAAATGAATGTGGAGAACGAAGAGGTAATATTTAAGGAATTAAGAAGTGACTATGGGAAAGTGCCATACAAAACAATGGGAAGATGGTTTATTGAAGGAAAAGAGGATGAAAAGTTTGAATTCCTTTTTGTTATGTATGCATTAGGAGTCCTCTTGTGTCCTGGCTCTAGGATATGGGTGAGTGATAAAGTGTTGAAGGTCATGGTAGCGACAAATGATAGTTTAGGACACTATAGAGCAGCTTTGTTTTCAGAGAATTCTGCAACTCAATTGCAGAGTTCAAGAAAGGAAAAGCTGATGGGATGAAAAATGTGGGAGGTTGCTTGTACTTCTTAATGGTAAGTAAAGGTATGATTCATTTACTTTGACGTCAATTGTATTCTCAATGTGGTATGTATGTTGTAATTGGTTGCTCTCTATGTTGTCATTTACTACTCTATGTTGTCATTTGCTGGTATGTACGCTATCAACTGCTTATGTGTGTGTTGTGATTGGTTGGTGTGAAGGTTGTTATTATCCTGTGTCTAGGTTGTCACTGGCCTTTGTTGGCTTGTCACTTGCTTCTATATAAGTTGTAATTGCTTGCTATTCTTGTTGTCATTCAGTTTAGCGTGAGTTGCCATTGGCTGCTATGCATGTTGTGAATGGCACAAACATAGGTTGTGATTGCCTGATGTGTAGGTTATGACTGCATGCTGTGCATGTTGTCATTCGGTTTAGCATGGGTTGTCATTAGTTGATGCTCAGATCATTGGCCTCTGTTCGTTTGTCACTTGCTTATGTATAGGTTGTAATTGTCTGCTGCTCATGTTGTCATTTGGTTTAGCCTGAGTTTCCATTGGCTGCTGTGTATGTTGTGAATGGCACAGATGCAGGTTGTGATTGTGTTATGTATAAGTTGTGATTGGCCACTGTGTATGTTGTGATTGGTTGCTATGCAAGTTGTGATTGGCCACTATTTATGTTGTCAATAGTCTCCCTGCATGTTGTTATTGTTGTATAGCTAAGTTACCATTTACCTGATATGTAAATTCATTGCCTACAACACTTTCCTTTGGGGGAAAAAAGGCCGCAAAAAATAAGCATGCCATTAGCTATTGGGATGAGGAAAAAGTAAAGGCAAAAGCCAAATCAAAAGAGAATAGTGACAGAGGCATACTACATGGCGTTACAAATGTCAATAGGGCTTCATCTAGTGCATCCAATACAGAAATACATCTGACCCACCCTGTAAGTAAATCATGTGTAGCTTATTTTGGTGCTGTGTACAATTCGGAGTAATGGTTACTTTCATTACTGTTATTTTGCAAGAAATAAAGAGAACGTATGAAAGGTTGGTGACCATGGTTGAAGGGTTGGTGTCAACAATTGGAGAAGAGTTGGTTTCCCTGCAGTTGAGATTAACAGATGACAATGAGAAGGAAGATGTGGTGGAAGTAGCAAGTAGTAAAGATGATAAAGAGAATGCAATTGAAGATAAAGAAAAGGGTGGAGAAGCTAAAGGAAGCCTGTAACATCGGTTATCTCCAACCTGTTACTAACTTTTTTTTAAACTCCAATTTAATAATACTAACCATAGTAGAAAAGAATCTTAGTATAATATTTGAAACGGCTACCATGGTTATAAAAAGAAATTTGATTTGCCAAAAATGTTGATCATGATAGAAAAGACTTGAACTAATTATTCAAAATGTCTATCATGATTATAAGAGTTTTACTAAGCAAATTGTATGAAAATCGTAATTAATAATATTTCACAATAATTGGGCCTTGGGCTTTGCAAAGTCCAGCACGTCACAATTCATTTCTAAGCCCATAACATGATATTTTAGACTAAAATTTGTCCAAACCAACAGTAATCAATTACTTTCAAAAGTCATTGTGGGTTCACAACTTACAAACCCAAGTAATCCAGCAACAAAAGTAACTAAGACCGTAAGTCTCAAATAATTCAGATTATGCAAAAAGAGCTATATGTGGCAATATACAATACTCATCACATGACAAAAAGGAGGCTATATAAGATAAACTTGATAGCTAAGCCTCCACTGCCTTCCCTGACGGACCAGCCCTAGAGCTATTATCTGAAAATGTTAAAGCACGGGGTGAGGCAAAAGCCTCAGTAACCAACAATCCTACTCATCAAGCATACAAGTAAGTGCTTGAGAGGTATCAAGTGGAACAGTTACTAAATCATAACATTCGCAATTGTCACATGGTTATATATATATATACATATCAAAATACAATATCTCACTCTCAATTCCACCTTATTTCCTCACACCTTATTTCCTCTGACTGAACCCATGGGCTAGTACTATCCCATGTGACTGGTAGTTCAACATAATAAGCTCACCGATCAAGTGATGTGAACAGGCCAAAATCCACAGAGCACAAGATCGGACCATGGGTTCCCTCTAGTCCACTAGAGCGGTGTCATGCACCCTACAACACATGACAGGGCCAAAGGATCAACCAGTGTACATCTGGCGTCCTCCCACCTTATTACCTCTAGAATATGTACAAAATTCACCCCATTATTCTCCCTATAACATGTCTCCCACCAATCAACGTTCACCATCCCCTCTTGTATTTACACTCATGAGAACAGTTATTTACCAATAACATAATAACTTTTAGATTTACCAAAATCGAGATTTCAAAATTTCAATAATCACATCAATCCTCAATTCATTTCTCAATAAATTCTTGTTCCACATGACAAATTTATAAATTCATAATTTCATACTATTTTTCAATAACATAAAGTATCTCAAGACAATTTCAACAATGATGCCTTTTATTGCTCAAATAATAATTCAATGGCATTTCAAGAATCTCATATAATTCGAAATTACTCACAAATATCATACAAGTATACATAACAAGTGGAAAGTGGTTACCTTTCGCCAAGGCTATAAAAAGAATTACTACAAAGGCAATCCTGTGCTCAAACCAATAATCTAATAATTAATCTACACAATTAATATGACCACATATTAATATAAGATAATTAATTAATCTTATATATATATTAGCTAAATTTCTATTTTAATGTAATTTAATTTGTATTCTAAATCCCCCCAACTCTCATAACCCAAAATTAAGTACTTTAGAACTAACTTATAAATTTTCCTAACAGGCTAAAAATATCTAGTTCCATCCTCTGGATTATTTACTTTAATAAAAAGAATTTTCTAAAATTTTCAAATATGAAATTGTTATATTTTAAATTCTAAAAATCTCATTTAAAGTTTAAACCTCAAAATCAAACCATCAAAAATTTAATAATACCTCAAATATTTATAAATAAATAATCTACTCAAAATTCTAATAGTATAACTATCAAATTTTCTTTTTTTTTCACAAATAATAAATTCTTTTAGCTAAAATAATTATTTTAAAACCTCCAGTCATCCAATAAATAAAACTAAACTGATTAAAATCTTAATAATATGTCAAACAACCCAAATAAATTATTTAACACAATTTTGATAGGTAGAAATATAATATATCTTATATATAACAGACTTTTTAACTAAATAAAATTAATTTAAATACTAAAAAATAACAAATGGGTAAATCTAAACCAGTAGAAATGATCTACTATAATAGATCTGTAATATTGTGGTTAACATTCATCAAAATCCAAAACTTATCCCATACATAAGTCTCAAAATTTTCTCTGATTACTATAATAATATTATCATTAGAAAGCTTAAAATATATAGGAAATATTTATAAAGAAAGTTTGATGGAAAGAAGTAATTTTATGTGCCTAAAATATCTTCAAAGTTTGCCCTTTTCTTTACAATGATTGCTGATCCACTCCTTGCTCTCTCTCCCACACTCTTTCTCTTACTCTCCCTTTCTTTCTTTTCTTCCTTTCCTCTCATTCTCTTTTTATTCTAACTCATTCCGTCTTTAATCTATCCATATGCCAATTTTTTCTTCATTCATTTAATCCTTCGTTCCCAAATGTCTTCCTCACATTAAATGTTCCCAACTTTTCCACCGAATTCGGTGGAAAAGGTGTCCTTCATTTTTTTTTCCTTCAAAACTTAAAATAAAATATTATTATTTTACAATAATATAATATAATATTATTTGTTTAATTTACTTATTATTTATTTTTTTTAATTAATTAATTTTAAAAAATTTTTTTAAATCCTAACATAAAATTTTAGGATATTACAAAGCCCAAAAGATTCAATTCTGTCACAAGAGGAAGAACAAAGTGAACCAGAAAAAGATGACAAAGAAGAGGAAAAACGTGCTCTGCATAAAGAAGAAAGTAAATCTCAAGATGAAGAGAAAAGAGAAGAAAGCGAACTAAAGAAAGATGATAAAGAAGAGGACAAAAGTGCTCCGCATGAAAAAGAGAGTCAATCTCAACCTGAAGAGAAAAGAGAAGGGAGTGACTCTGAATCAGGGGATGACGAGGAAGAAAAAACTAAAGACAAGTCTAGTGATGCAGCAGTAGAAGAGGATAAAGGTTTAGGCGATAATGAGGAGGGAAAGGATGAAATGAACAAGGAAGCATAAGGATAAATGGAAATAAGAAGATCAACACAGGTGAGAAGCCGTGCAATCAAATCTCCCTAGTTAGAGGAGGTGAAAAAAACCCGTGGCAAGAGAAAACTTGATGAGAAAGAGGAATTATTTCGGATGTGCACAACCAAGGATAATGGTTATGAAGTTTTTGTAATGGCATTCATGTGTTTTGATTATGTCTAGAAAAGCAGACTAAATAAAACTGGATAAACAAATGGTAACTATGATGACATGATATGCATATATCACAATCCTCTTTGCCATATCCATTTACAACCTCAACGAGGGTTGTTGACAACCCAAACAGAGGTGGTTAACACAATCTTGACAATGCCCCTGACAACTCACTCTGTGGGATACCATAGCTCCTAACTGAATTTTGAAGTCATTTACAGCTTTAATTGAACCAAATATGATGACAGCAAATTTTTACTGCATAAGTTCATTTACAACCTCAATGGGGGTTATTGGCAACCTGAACACAGCTAGTTAACAACCAGGACAATGCCCCTGACAACTCACTCTATGGGATACCACAACTTTTAAATAGATTGTATTATTAGCACATATAACAACCTTAACAAAAAAATTAGGAGCATTTTGAAGTCATTAACAGCTTTAACTGTTGACAATATGATTATACCAGATTTTTACTGCATGAGTCCATTTACAACTGTTAGAAACAATCTCACCCAAGAGGGGGGTGAATTGGGTGAGTTACAAAAATTTAAAATCAAATGCGTGTCAGTATTGAATAAAAACAGGGAGTCAGAGTAAGGAGAAATTTAACCGCAGAGAGGAGACACAAGATTTATACTGGTTCGGTCTAAACCACGTGACCTACTTCCAGTCCCCAGAACACCTCTGAGTATTTCACTATCTTCCAAGATCGACAGGGCTCTTGGTGCCTCGGTACAGTAATTGAATCGCTCAATCACTCCCCCTTACTCCCGTAAGGATACAAGCCCTCTCAAGAGTCCACACTCTTGAGTATCACTCAAGTTTTTAATGAGAGTAGTAATTGGCTCTCTTACAGAGTGAATTTAATGATAAACACTGATGCTCGGTAGTAACGTGAAAACAGAGTATTGAATGCTAAACTAAATAATCGCAAGTGGTAGTTCCGGTATTCAATCTACTCATTAATGCTTCTTCGCGCCTTTTATAGTTGATATCGTTAAGTAGCCGTTAGACGGAAGAGCTTCTAGCCGTTGTGACTCCGTTTGCGTGTTTCGCTGATTTCAACGGCTCCGCCATTAATGCGTCTGAGCTTCTGACACTGTAGGTCGCAGTCTACGTAATCCCGTTGAAGAGCCGTTGCACTCGTTTTCATTAATCTGCATATTTTAAGCTTTGAACAAATGAGAGTCTTGCGGTGAATACTTTAATCTTGAACAAAGAAGAGAAAACAAATTTATCATTCAAAGATTTGTGACGAAATCATTTATCAGTAAGAAGAACAGAAAGTCATTCTGGTTTAGTTTGATCGAAGAGATGATCGATTACTTGATGATAGATCAAGTTATCGATAAACAGAATGAAGACTTTTCGAATTAGATCACCAATATTATCGATCAAGTGTTGGATCATTGACTCTAAGAATTATCATAGCAAGAGGAAATCGTTCCATGATCGAACAAGTGATCGAACACTTGTTTGATCGAACAGATTATCGATAATTCAAATGTTATTGAAATGAAACTTCAGTCATTGATGATCGAACAACTTATCGATAAATGTATGATGGATAATGTTATCGATAAACCATGGGCATGTATATATTCAATGAAAGACACAGACTATCTGAAGTGATCGAACAGCTGATCGATCAATGAATATTCGAACAAATGATCGAATAAAGTAAGAAGAGAAATTTAATCCTGTAAGACAAGGAAACTGATTATCGATCACGTTTTGTGAAAACATGAGTTTAGGGAATTGAATGATCGATCATATTATCGAAAAACCAGTGATCGATTAGGTGATCGAAAAATAGTTCAACATAAGTTAATGCGAATATAGCAATCCTTAGACACTTTATCGATCATGTTATGTGAAAAGTTATTTATGCAAACAAGTTAAATTTATCGATAATGTTATCGATAATTTGGTTGCAGGAAAACTAAATAAGAGTAGATAAAGACATTGATTATCGATCATGTGATCGATAATTTTATGATCAATAAGGTTATCGATCCATCAGTGAAGTTGATTACCTGCATTCAGAGAATTAGAGCATAATGTTCGAACATGTGATCGATAAACAAATGATCGAGAATATGATCGATAAATTGGTAACAGAATTAATGTGCAGAACAAGTAGATTGTGTTACCTTTTATCGAAGTCGTTATTGATGACTGATTTATCGATCACATGATCGATAAATACACTTCAGATTTGGTTCTCTATCAGTAACTCGATTGTTTATCTGATATTATCGATCAGTTGATCGATAATTAACCATACTCTTGTGTGATTTCACGTTAGCGATAATCGATCACTTTATCGATTAATTGCTTATCGAATAGTTCTTCGATCCAAATACCTACTATAAACCTGATTTACATTTGAGCAATTATCTGAAACCTTAGCGATAAACGATTGATTGATCAGTTGATCGATCAAAATACTTAACCCAAATTATCTGACTTTGTTATCATCAAAACTATAATCCTAACATTCTCCCCCTTTTTGATGATAACAAAACATAAGTTATAAATCATCTATCAAGGAGAATATCAACCAGTTTCATATCCTCATAAAGCATGAAAAAAATAAATATCAAGAACATATTATCGATAAAAACACTATCCAGATACACAAAAGGAGATAACATAAAGTCATGACATAGAACCAAAAAGCAACTCATAAAACCATATAAACTACGAAACATCATCAGTTTTCTTCTCCCCCTTTTTGTCAGCATCAGAAGGGGTATGAACTGAAGGAATGGTCAGGGGAATAGGGAGAGGAGGAAGGGGAAAAAGTGGAGAAATAGATGGAAAATGAAAGGAGTGAACAGGTTGGGGTACAGTGATAAGAGCAAGAGTAGTAGGGACTGGAATAGAAGTAGATGGAACAGAAGGAGAAGTGGTGGAAATAGGAGAAGTGGGTAAGGGAGAGGAAGGAGGTGCAGGCTCAGGGTGAGGGGCAGGCTCAGGGTGAGGTGGAGAGGTAGGATGAAAGAGAAGATCCTCATAGCTGAAGCTGGTGCTAGGTGCAGTGAAATGCTGGCAGAGAGAGGTAACTAAGCCTTTAAGCTCTTGGAGTTCCTTGTCCACTGAATTAAACCTCTCGGTAACTTCTCTTTCCAAAACCACCATAGCTTGTTGGTGAAGATCCAGAATCTTAGAAATGCCATCAAACTTCCGGTCAGAAACTTCCCCATAGTCTCTGGCAGTGGAGTAGACTCTGGTCTCAAATGCGCGAAGCTCAGCCTGAAACATTTCCCTGAGGGATCTCTCCATAAAAGATGGACCAGGGGTATGAGATGGAGCAGCAGTGGATTCAGCTTCATCCTGGGTCCGAGATGTACTAGCAGCAGGTTGCTTTCCCTTATCCTTCTGAGATACTTTCTGTGATGGTGTAAAGGGAACAGAGATCCTCATTTTGTGGAGCTGAGTGAGGCCAAAACCAGGAACCTTGGTCTTGAGTTCCCCAGGCTCAAATGGAGCAATGTTATGTGCCTGAAGGAAATAGGTGGCCAGCTGAGGATAGGGAATTGGGGTTGATCTGGACTTATTAAGAACAAAGTCCTTCATCTCAGAGTAAATAAGATCCCCAATATTGATCTTTTCCCCACTAATAATCCGGGCTAGAAGAAGATAATCATCCTGAGTGAGATGTGAGAAACTACCGGATTTGTTTACCATGCACCTAGAATAGATGTAATGGATGATCCTATAGAAATCACACATCTGCTTAGGGGGAAAATTCAGCTCACCGGGATAATCACTATTCTGCATTAAAATTCTATAAGCCTTTACTTCATTCATGTCACCACCTCGCACAAAATCTTGAGTCCCTAGCAGCTCATTTATTTTGGCACTTGTGAGTTTAAAAGCTCTGCCTCTCAGTGTAACTTTCAGACAATTTTCTATGAGATTGTCTTTATCATCATATTTTTCTACTGATTCCATATTACAGTAGAATCTTTTAACCACTTCGGGGCAGTATTCACCACCAATGATTAACCAATTCGAATAATGCTGCAGTGGGTCACTTAAATCAAGATCAATTTGTTTGTTTTTCCTCAGACCCTCTAAGTCCACAGATACCACAGGACAGAATTTTCTATTGGCAAAATCGGCCTTATACTTTGCTACATTAACTTCATTATCGAGATTGCCAGATAATAACTCAGAAAATTCAGTGGGTATACCTTCAGGAGGAATTTCCCGTGCCACCCCTTCACTTGCCCTCTGTTTCTTCTTTCTCGGTTGCTTGGGGATGGATATATTCAAAGCGGATTCCACGGCTTTCTGAACTGAGGCACCATCATCAGACTCGGTCTCCGATTCTTCAGTCACTATCGGTAATTTTGATTTGGACCGAGGAGATTTTCTGAGAGAGGCCGGTTGTTCTTCTGCCCGACTTTCCTGAATTTTCAGAGTAGCCCTCTTCTTCGTTGATTCCTCCCTTACCTTCGGTCTATAACGTTTTCGAGTACCCGAAGCAGTGGTGTCGCTTGATTGAGGTTGTTTCTCCTGCGCTTCTCCCTTTCCACATTTGGTTGCTTCACCCGAGCCATTTCGGAAGTACCGAGGGGTTTTTGTCAGATTAATCGGTTGAAAAACGGTGATTTTGAGGTGGGTGAAGGTTGGAAATGTAGCAGAGATGGATTCGAGTGGAGGAACGGTTGAAGGATTTAAGATAGTGGTGATTCCTGACCGTTGCGCAAAACAGGGGACCGGTATTTTTCGAGTTAGGGTTCGAAAACTGACGAAGGGATTTCAGAACAGTACCGTTATAGTCTTCGAAATTATCGATC